GTGAACGAATTATAAACGATTAACATTTTCTATTCAACACTTGCTTTTTCGACGAATGTTCCTTTTTCTTAAATGGCGTAGTAAATCATCATGAGGTTCATACACAGCAGCCACAAAAATTAAATGTTTGGGGTGGTAATTTTGGCGATCATTTAGTTGATCCTTTTTTCTTACCTGGAAATTTGACCTGTGAAATGTATGTGGAACATTGGAAGATAGGTTCTGCATTAACAGCCATAATTGAAAATCAGAATGATCGGCGGTACATTGCGAATAGGTTGATGTTCCAACAGGATGGTGCCCCACCACATTACGCATTACGTGTTCGACAATATTTAGATCAGACGTTTCCAGACCGATGGATTGGTAGAGGAGGTGCCACTGAATGGCCCCCAAGATCGCCAGATTTATAACGTTTGGATTTCTTTTTGCGGAGTCATTTCTATTATTGCATGGAGAGTCATACCATTTTCAACATCTACTTGCCTAACGGGTCAGTCTGTTCTTCATTTTTAAATTACTTTGCTGCCAAATGTATTGATCTCCACTAATGATGATGCATTAGTTTTATTTAAGCTTTAAATCAATAAATCTTCAAAACTACTGAATTGAAGTACATTAATTTTATCATTATAAAGGGAATTGAAAGACCTTTAAGGTAACTCTCGACCCCCCTTTCCATTTAATATTTTGGGGGTGGTGTCACCCCCGCATATGGGGCCGCACGTGCTAACGTGATTTTTTGCCAAACTTGTGTCTTCGTCGGAAACAAAATCGAGCGTTTTTCCCTAAATAAACTGAGCTGCCAGTAAATGCATGTTTCGTTTTCGATGTGCCACCCTGTATATACCCTGCACATGGTTCGCAGCATATTACGGGTCTTCGTAGTGACAATAGGATACAACCGTCCATACCACAAGTTTCGGTACAAGTTGTGCACCGTGGTAACGCACCATTATAGATATTCCCGAGTGGGTGGTCTCTATTGTTTGCTACATTTTTAGAGGCAGGTCTTTAGATAGAGATACTTATTTCGAATTCACCTATCATGCAGAAAATATCCTTGCCTTTTCTGTCATTTTAGGTTCGCCCAGAAAGATGAGGCTTTTAAACCTAATACGAACAACGCAGTTAATGAGTTGACACGCTAGAGTTCCAAAGTAACTCTTTTTCCTATTCAATTTGTCGAGGTAGGCAGAAAGTCAACGCTCATGTACTTCTTCATAAAAAATAGAAAAACAGGCCAATAAAGTTTTAATGCATTATGAATCGCTGGGGTGCCGTAAAGAAAGATTACTGTTAGTATTTCCTTGAACATTTCTTTAGAGCTGAAGAATTTCGATTTTTTTTTGCAGAGTTTCCGTACTATAAAAATGCATAAAAAACCTTAGCGCCTCTGTACTCCTTTTGAGTGGATTACTCACCTTAGTCACCTTTATTACCGCGAGATTAATTAGTGAATCCAACTGGACTGTCTCTGTTGACGCTGTTCTACAAAAGTCACGGTAGCTTCATGATATAAATTAGTTTAAGCTCCCTTGCCCAGGTAGGAGCATATTTTTTTACTTTGTAGGTAGATTTGATCCATCTCAGCAGCGCTATGCCAAATCACGACCTTAGGTAACGCCACTGATGTTAGGGTAGAGTCAGTACCATGAGTCTGGCATTGATGACTGATGACCAGTTGACCTATACCGCAATCGTATTAATAATCAATCCAAACACACAATGAAGATAAACAATGATTTATTTCGGTAAGCGATAACATCTCTATCACACAGTATGTACAAAAGCTATTATAAAAAAATTAGCACTATCGTATATAAAAACAACTATTGCTACTGGCTAGATACTAGTTACCTAAGACATTGCGCAGTTTTTTCTGTCCGTGCGTCAAAACATTTATCACCGTTATTTACTCATACCATGAACTTTATAACGTGAGATACGACTTTTGACTTACAGTGCAGTGACGCAATTATGTTTTATTTTTATAATTTTTTATATGCTGTGCTCAAGTCATCACATCAGGGTCAAAGCGTTCGTCTTGGTCAAGCTTAGATGGAATAAGCGAATCACAAAATATCTTATTCTCAATTATCCATCTACTGTAGCCTAGAAACTACGTCAAATGATTATATTATCACTGGTCAACACTGGTTTTGCCACACGAACTTTGACAGCTAATTTTGTTTTATCAGTCTACCTTCATTATTACGTGACAGCTGTCATATGTCTATTAGCCTCATATTTGTTGTGATACGGTAATACTCATAACTAGTATTACGGCAGTAAATTAACAGAAACGCTTACAAGTAAATCCTTATAAAAATATTTGTTGTTGAATTTGAACACTTTTTTGTGATTTATTAACCCTGTGAATATGTCGAGGAAGTGTAATAATGATCCTAACTCTTTTTGTTATGTCTGCGGAGAACTAACATTCAAAAAACAACGACGAAATTTTACGAATCTTGTGTTGGAGTGTTATCACCAATGTTTTGGTTTTTCTGTCGCCCATCAAGACAAATCCTGGGCCCCTCATGTCTGTTGCATAACGTGTGTGAAAAATTTAACTGACTGGAAGAAAGGTGCACGACCTATGCCGTTTGCTGTACCCATGATATGGACTGAACAGCGAGATCACGTTTCAGATTGCTATTTTTGTCTCACAGACATAAAAGGTATAAATTACAAGAAAAAAAAACAGTTATTTACCCTAACTTATCTTCCGCTATAAGACCAGTCTCTCATTGTAAAAAATTGCCAGAACTAATACCAGTTGCAACTACGTCTGTTGAGAACAATTCACAACCGTCCATTTCAGGTGAATGTGTTGACGAGGATGATGACTTTGAGTTAAAAGGAATTGTAAACGTAAACATTTGATAACTCAAGGAGACCTAAATGATTTGGTTCGGGATTTAAATTTGTCAAAAAAGCAGTCAGAACTATTAGGATCACGTCTAAAAGAATGGAATTTGCTACATCATAATACAAAAGTTAGCTATTTTCGAAACCGTGACCAACACTTCAGAACGTATTTTTATCAGAATGGAGATTTGGTGTTTTGCAATAACATAAATGAGATTATGAAAATGTTGGACATAGATTTTGATCTCTCTCAGTGGCGTTTATTAATTGATTCTTCGAAAGCAAGTCTAAAAGCAGTGTTATTGCATAATGGAAATAAGCTTCCGTCTGTACCTCTGGCCCATGCTGCAAATATGAAAGAAACCTATGAAAATATGAAACTTTTACTTGAAAAAATAAATTACAGTACATATTCCTTCAAAATCTGCGGTGATCTTAAAGTTGTTGCTCTATTACTTGGACTTCAGCTGGGTTATACAAAGTTTTGCTGCTTTTTATGTGAATGGGATAGCCGAGACAGAACTAATCACTATATAAAAAAAACATGGCCTACGCGTGCATCGTTAGTTCCTGGGCAAAAAAACGTAAAGTATTTACCCCTTGTACAGCCAAATAATGTGCTTCTACCACCATTGCATATCAAATTAGGATTAATAAAATTTTGTGAAGGCAATGGATCGCAATAGGAGTGGATTCTTGTATCTAAAAGAAAAAATCCCTAAAATAAGTGATGCAAAGATAAAAGAGTGTATTTTTGTTGGCCCTCAAATTAGGGAGTTAATAAAAGATTCAAGATTTGAAGAAAAATAAGCGATTTAGAAACATCTGCATGGAAGGCTTTTAAAAATGTTGTTTCAAATTTTTTGGGTAACCACAAGAGTGACAGCTACAGAGAGTTGGCTAGCGAGCTATTATTGTCATATCAAGCATTGGGTTGCAACATGTCACTTAAGATCCATTTTTTAGACTCGCACCTGGATTTTTTTCCTGACAATTTAGGGGCTGTCAGCGACGAGCACGGTGAGAGGTTCAATCAGGACATTTCTAATATGGAAAAGCGGTACCAGGGCAAATGGAGCCCAAATATGTTAGCAGATTACTGCTGGACAATTAAAAGGGACCAACCAGAAGCTAAATATTCAAGAAAATCTTAGATTATTAAGTCATTTATAACAAAAAATAACTTTTGATTTACGAGATCTGTTTTTTCTTAATATCTTAAATTACTCAATAGAATAAAATCCTTGTCTAGCTTATTTTTTTTAACTGTTTATTTTTTCTTACAATCACCAATTAAAGTAAAAAATATCAAAAAAGTCCGTGTGGCATGACAAAGTTAAAATTTTGTTGACCAGTGTTATTCATAATCGACACTTAGAGTTCGGGTCTTCAATATCTTGATTATAGACTGCCGAACTCATTATTTACGCGAGGGCTTAATGTAAGTAGTAATTTAGAGCTGTCCGGATATGAAATAAATTTAGAGCTGATTTCGGAGACTGAGTAATAATTCCTTTAACGCGTGTTCATATTTTAACCGCACAAGCCACAGTACTGAATTTGCTAGGGGTCACTCAATAAAAAATGATCCTAGCACTTTTTTAACGGTTTGTCAGCCTGTGTCTGCATTCTACTTCGAGGAAGTAACTCTAAACAGTTTTTGTAGATTGAGGAGTTTCACGCGTAATGAAAGCTCTCGAAGATTCTTTCCACTATGCGATTTTTAGGAAAATATGTTAGGTCAATTTACATTTAGGATTAATCTTAGAATATTGAAAATATAAATTATGAACCAACGTTCTAGAAACATTCTTAAGAGGTTTACTTTCAAATACATCAAAATATGTTCCCAAGTTATTAGAATAAGTACTCTTCAGTCTCAGTTATACACTTTTCTAGATAAGCATGACGGAATCTAGATATCAGTTCCACTATTTTCAGTTAAATGATTAAAATACATACAACTGTTGGATCAGCAGGATGGAGTAACATAGCACTGGCTCTGTATAATTCTTCTGAACGTGTAGTTTCTCTGGCTAGACAGCCCTAATAGACGGCAAGATACTTTAGTCAAACATTACCTTTCGTATTTTGTGACTCTGTAATTTTGGTTCCTCTATTGCTATTCACCGCGTTTTTGGTAAGTGTTGTCCTGTGGCCCTATATCCATTTTCGTCTGCAACATATGTGACCTTGTAAGTGACTCCATCTGTACCCACATACGTATAAGATCCTTGAACAGTTAGCGACTCATTTTCTGATCCAGCGTTCTTAAGTTCTGCTGTTTCTTCTCGTTGTGAACCATCGCTGGTCTCATACCTTTAAAAAGGACAAGCAAATACTAATTATAATAATTTCCACTTGCTTGACGATAAAGTTTAAAGTGCCATAGGTCCCAATGGCTATTGTATTCGATTAATACAATACTGAATTTGACAGTAGCAGTTAGGCCCCTATCGTCAGTCGTCCCTACAATTGTAGGGCGCCTTTATGGCCTCCTTGATTGTCATAGTTTTCTACTTCTCCGTGTCAGAACTCTATTTTGAGGTTATGTCACAAATATCTATTTGCATCAAATTGTGGTTGCTTTTGAGTTATATCATGTTTTATCAGCCTGAAATTTTCTACAATTTAAAAAGAAAACATATCTTCACAATAGGAGCGCGCTGACGCGGACACGGGACAAGTGTAATCTAGAAATTTTTGAAGGAGAGAACGGAGTATGACAATAAAGGAGGCCATAAGTGCGCCCTATAATTGTAGGGACGACTGACGATACGGGCCTTAGGCATGATGGAATAATGAGTCGTATCAGAAAGATAGTGCGCTTAGCTACTCTCAAAGCTTGCATACTACTCTCATATAGTAAGTAGTATAATATCAGAAACCTTGTGGACAAAGGTGCATCATAAGCAATGACATGCGTATGGAAAACTAAACACGTAACGTATTTTATTTAAATATTCTCCATCATAGATATTTTGGAAAGGAAAGAGCGTGAAAAACAGCCACTACAAAATACTTACGAAAAACTATAGTTCGTTAGTCCTAAGTTGTTTTCGTGTTTTACTATCTTCGATGCACTATAGTTCCTTGGATATTTCGAATCGATCTGTCTTTGAGAATAATCTTGTCTCTGAGGGTAAGACAAGCAGTATCCAGTTGTGACGAGGATGGAGATCAAAAATACCTGGAATACGTTTAATGTGAGGTTCTATTCCTGCAAATACATGCTTCTTTGGCATTGTGTTATCATTTAGCCGCTACTAAGTCTCACTCAACAATGGAAGGACACCATTTCATGAATGATGTCTAGTCCCAGAAGTAGGTTTTGTGTTACGGTTTACGAAGCATTAGATTTTTTTGGAATATTTTTGGCATGGCAGAAGGGAATCCTTTACGGTATTGAATTTCTTCACTGAAAATTGCTTAAGATTGAAAATAATATTTTGAAACTGGCACAGCTTGACTCTTCCGATAATATACCAGATTTTTTTCTACAATCCCAGATCTCCTGTTCTCAGTCGTAGCCAGATTATGAACCCTTAATTTCACTCTCAGAATCACACAGACCCTTCATTCTTCATTTCCCGTATGCAACATAGCAGCATTGCAAACTTTTCATAAAAAACCGCCAAGCTTAACACCAGACCCGTATTTGTCCATAATACTGGACAACAAATTTTAGTTTTTTAATTGTATCTTGTGGGAAAAGTGCACTTCTTTGTTAATTTTGGGGCGCTGAATCCAAAAACGACAATGAAATAAAAAATTAGTTGCGGTTTAGGAAAAAACTTTTTATTTTTAAGGATATACTAAAAAAAGTAACAAGATTCATATACTTATAAGAATCACTATATGCGCTGTCTTTTTGCTGTTCTTTTATGGATCGTTTCTGGAGCATCTCTACCAAGAGTACAACAGTAGTCTGCATGCATGGAAGGATTCCACTTTCCCTGGTACCTTTTTTCCATTGTTGAAATATCCTGATGAAAACGTTCGCCGTGCTCATCACTTACGGCTCCGCAATTGTCAGGAAAAAAGTCCAGGTGTGAGTGTAGGAAATGTATCTTAAGAGACATATTACAGCCCATCTTTTGAAACGATGACAGCATATTTTTGACAAGGGTTTTATAGCTGTCAGCTTTTCTATTTCCCAAGAAATTAGTGACCACCAGACGGAAATCATTCCAAGCACTTTTTTCAATATCTGTTAAAGTGTTTTCAAACTGTGTATCTTTCAAAATATTTCGAATCTGTGGCCCAATAAAAATACCTTCTTTAACCTTTGCCTCACTTAGCCTTGGAAATTTCTGACGCAGGTATTGAAAAGCTGACCCTTCTCTATCTAATGCCTTGACAAAGTTTTACATTAGGCCCAACTTGATATGCAGTGGTGGCAATAAAATTTTTTGCGAATCTACTAATGGCATAGGCTGTACATTTTTTTGACCTGGCTCTAGGAATAGACGAACAGGCCAGTTTTGTCTGGTGTAATGAAGTGCCTTTGCCCGACTGTCCCATTCACACAAAAAACAGCAAAACTTTGTGTAGCCTAGCTGCAGCCCAAGTAAAAGTGCAACAACTTTCAAATCGCCACAAATATGCCATTGGTGCTCATCGTATTTTATGCATGTCAATAGGTACTTCATATTGTCATATGATTCTTTCATGTGAACTACATACCCTACAGAAAGAGATGGTAAAATATTTCCAATATGCAATAACACTGCCTTTGAACTCAATGTTGAACTGTCTATAAACAATCTCCATTCTTCTGGGTTATAGTTTATATTTAAAGCCGCCAGTAAGCCGTTAATATTACTACAGAAAAACAAAGTTATTCTCCATATTGAAAAATGGTTCTAAGGCTTTGTGGCGTTTACGAAAAACACATACCGAAACATCGTCTTCTAACAAGTTCCACTGCTGCAGTCTTGATCCAAGTAACTCTGCCTTACATTTTTGAGGTTCTAAATCTCTTACAAGATCATTTAATTCTGGCTGTGTTATTTTGTGCGGTTGGTGGCATGACATGCTCGGTATAAAATCAGGATCTCTTGACGTTGATGGCATATCTTCTTCCTGACGAATCACTCGATCGCCATGATCTGAGTCGTTTTCTGATTAGCAAGTGTAGGATTCTGGGGGTTTTGGAATAGGATTTTCGTCACTGTGAGGCACAGGTCTCATCGCAGATGGTATGTTTGAGTAGTTAGTAACCGATTTTTTTTTCTTGGACATACCTGTGGTTTGTCCAACACAAGGTACAATGCAAAAGTAACAATCATTAATATGATTTGTAGGCTCTCTCCAAACCATTGGGACAGCAAAGCGCATTGACCGTTTTTTGCCATTTAACCAGCTCCTCAGACTTGAAGCACATGTATTACAGCAGATGTATCTTGCATGAACGCTGTCAGCCAACTGAGGAAAAAATGGCTAATATAAAACAATATAATGTACACGTATGTATAACGTAACACAATCATGCCGATTACATCATCTTTCCTTGCCGAATATAAAAATGTAGCACGTGCATTCTTGTGAATTACAGTATATTAACACTGCCACAGCAGGAACACATATAATTGCCGTATCTCTAAAACTTGAACTAATATTGAAAAAATAAGTTTCATTCCGGTGTTAGCACATTAAAAATAGTAATATTCTGTTGATTTTATTTAGGATATTTTTTGGCTGTTGATCAGTGATTAGGATCAACCATGCATCAAAATAGCAAAATTATGTAGTATACAGCTAGTTTATAGCGAAGAACTTTGTGACTTCCTCCCCCATATCAACAAAGGTGTCAATTTTAATATGCTCCCGGAATGAATAGACCTTTGGGCTGTTGAAGAGAAAAAAGTCATTGGTAATAATCTTAAAGTGAGAATATGTATTGCATAGTAGTAGTTCTTTTAAAAACATTTACCAAATACTCTGAGAAAGAAATAGGAAGTAACTCTGAAGTAATTTTGAAAGCAGAAGAGAACAAAAAGCTTTCAAGAACACAAATCTGGACTGGAGAAAGATAATTTTTCTGAAAAAAAACTAATCTAGTAGCCTGCTTTTTAATGCTAAGGGAAATAGCTTAAACTGTAGAAATCCAGTCTGGCGTTTACTCTCGATTTAGTAATGGGTGATTTTTTTGCTAGTATCTTTTTGGCAACACTGTTTTTGACAGATGACGCGTGAATCGTGTCTTGTGTCATTGTCAAACTTGTTCAGTTTGGTCTATAATTTAACCATGCATCGACTTATGAACGAACAACGCTTGCAAATTATTGAATTTTACTATCAAAGTTCATGCTCGGTTAAGAGAGTGCATCGAGCACTGCTTCCAATTTATGGGCAATTTAGTCGGCCTACTGAGGGAGCTATTCGGAAGCTTGTGACTAAATTTCGAACCCAGCTTACATTATTGGACATTAAACCACCAACACGCAGACGTAGAGTGAGGACTGAAGAAAATATTGCGGCTGTATTCGCCAGTGTTAGTGATGACCGTGAAATGTCGATTCGCCGCCGTTCGCAGCAATTGGGCCTCTGTTACTCCACTACGTGGGAGATTTTGCGACAGGATTTGCGTGTAAAACCTTATAAGATACAGCTGGTGTAAGAACTGAAGCCACAGGACCTTCCACAGCGTTTCCAATTTGGTGAATGGGCGCTGGCAAAGTTGGAGGAAGATCCACATTTTAATCCAAAAATTGTGTTCAGCGACGAAGCTCATTTCTGGTTGAATGGGTACGTTAACAAGCAAAATTGATGCATCTGGAGTGAAGACCAGCCAGAGGCATTGCAAGAGCTACCAATGCATCCCGAAAGAATCACTGTTTGGTGTGGATTATGGGCCGGTGGCATCATCGGGCCGTACTTCATCAAAGACGATAATGGCCGGAACGTAACTGTGAATAGCGAGCGCTACCGTGCGATGATAACAAACTTTTGTTTGCCCAAAATGGAAGAGCTGGACTTGGCTGACATGTGGTTTCAACAAGACGGTGCCACATGCCACACCGCACACGAAACGATGGCCCTATTGAGAGGCGAGTTCGATGAACAGTTTATCTCACGTTTGGGGCCCGTCAATTGGCCGCCTAGATTGTGTGATTTAACGCCGTTGGACTATTTCTTGTGGGGCCATGTTAAGGCTTATGTCTACAGGGATAAACCAGCAACGATTGATGCACTGGAAGCCAATATTGAAGCATTTATTCGTGAGATACCGGCCGATATGTTGGAAAGAGTGTGCCAAAATTGAACCTTGCGCATGGGCCATCTAAAGCGGAGCCGCGGCCAACTTTTACATGAAATAGTCTTTAAACATTAAATTATATCGACAGTTCTATCGACTCAAATAAAGATTTAATTGTTTTGTCAAATTTATTGTGTTTTTTTGAAAATCAAATCCTATACCTCTTAAAAAATCACCCGTTATTAAATATAATGATAAATATATGATATAGTGCGGCTGTATTGAGTACGTATTATTTTTCAAGAACTCTACGTCTCATAAGAACTGAAAAATTTCAGCTGAATCAAAAGCATTTGTTTAACACAATCTCAGATAAGCGCCCCTCATTCCAGTTTGTCGATGATTATGCAAGTTGTTTCTACCAAAACGCACTTTGAATCAGGTGATATTTCTGTCTCCCCCCTTCCGTCAATAGTATCGACCAGCCTCAACTCTGAGTGAGACATTTGAGTGGATATGAGAAATTCAATTACAATGCCCTATTTTTGGGTTATATTCTGATCAATGATGAAAATAACGTCCGGTGATCAGAAAAGGTTGACATTTTGCCCCGGGATACGCTATTCTAGTAAATTAGTCAAATGCAAAACAGTTCTAAGGATACACTCAAAAATATTTCAATTAAATCCATGTTCACCACACCACCATTTTCACTTAACGACACATGAATGCCATATACTACGTACCGTGAAATTCATATTTGCAAATTTTCAAATAACTGAACTCCGTTCATTCATATTTCAGCTTATATACTTGGTAACATTTTCGTCAAATCGCAATTACATATCCTGGGACTTCATTGTTTCGATATTACAATTCAGATCTTATTGGATGATAAAGTCATTAGCATCTTTCAATATCAGATTCGCATTAATGGTGACCTAAAATTTGGCAGACCCATTATCTGAGGATTGATGGAAACAGCCACACGTCATCTAGCTGATAAGCTACTAGAAATTGATGTTTGTGGTATTGCAACAATATTTAAAGGACAAGACTGAAATAACGCGAAAGGAAACGTAGAGAATGACTTCTTTAAAATTATTAATAGCAGAAGATTAACTCATATACAAAGGAACAGGGTTAATTGATATCAAACAGCCTTATTTCCTACGTCCATCAATTACCTTAAGTTATCACTGAGTCATGATACTCGTTACAAAATCTGTGCAGGCTCAAAATATCATACTGAAGTGATCTTATCTCTATTTGGATCCCTAAATATATGGACGTGTACTTAAAGAAAAAAAGAAAGAATCTTAAACGGATTTTTCCAACACAAAAACATACACAAATATACTTGGACTCAAAAAACAAAAAACTTGAAATCAATTATTGACTATGTCGTGATTAAGCAGGACACTTCCATAATACCCTATGATGTAAAAGTTTGGAGAGGAGCTGAGTGCGGTTCAGATCACCTGCTAGTAAAAGCACCCATTGAAATTACTTACAATAAACATCTCATATATCAAGAACAAAATAACAATGGAAAACCCACAAAGCGATATAACATAGACAGCTTAAGGGATGAATCCACCAGTTTCCTTTACAAACTACGTTTAGCACAAAAACTGGACGAAGATATTAACGGCAAGGCAGAAGAAATGTATGAAACTTTGAAACACAAAATTCACGAAGCAGCACTAGAAGCCCTTGGTGTTAAAGATAGAACGGAACACAAAAATTCTTGGTGGACGGACGATTTAACCCAACTGGTAGAAGAAAAGAAAAACTTATATCTTAAATGGTTAACTACAAATGACGTTGAAGATCGAAAAAGCTATAATCGTTTTAAATATATAGTAAAGAAAGAAATTACAAAAATAAAAAACAAAACATGGGAAACCAAATGTGCTGAAATTAGCTCAATGGTAGGAGGATCTAGGTCTAGAGAAGCTTGGCGAACTATAAATGGTCTTAAAACAAACACGAATGAAAGAAGAAAAATAAATCCCATAAAAATAGAACAGTGGAAAGACTACTACAATAATCTACTGGCAGAACAACGTGGAGAGTATTTAGACACGCAACTAGATATAGATCAAACGGGAGTTAACAGAGTAGATACCATTCAATTAGAAGAAATAAAAACAGCATTACAAAAAATGAAAAATAATAAAGCTCCGGGACCGGGGGATTTGCCTATCAAGTTAATTAAACACGCCACCACAAGAACGCACGAGCTACTTTGTGTAATTTTTAACAAGTGCCTGGAAGGGGAAACGATTCCCAGAGATTGGAGGAGCCCTTACATAAATTCCATTTATAAAAAGGGAAACAGGAGTGACTGTAGTAATTATCGGGGTATTAGTATTACATCGTCCATCGGAAAGCTGTACGAAAGAGTCCTAACAGCCCGAATAGAAGATGAAGCCACGGAAATTGAAGAACAAAGTGGATTTCGACCTGGGCGATCCTGTGTCGACAACATATTTACAATAAAACAACTGACAGAAAAGAGATTAGCAAGAGGAATGGAGCTACACGCTACTTTTATAGATCTCCGCAAGGCATTCGACTCCGTCCCTTTGCAGAAATTATGGATCGCAGTGAAAGAAGCAGGCATAAATAGCAAATACATAAACGCCGTAAAAGCAATGTATAGAGAAAATCAAGTGGTCGTTAAAGTCGGAAATCAAATTTCTGAGGCTTTCCCACAAACAAAAGGTGTTAAGCAGGGCTCCTGCCTCTCTCCAACCCTGTTTAAAATTTATCTCTGCAGCGCTTTAAAACAGTGGATAAGAAAGTGCAGCCCCATGGGGATATGGTTAGAGGACTTTCAGTTGTATACAATCCTCTTTGCAGATGATCAGGTAGTCTTTGCAGAAGACCAGCAAGACATGACTTACATGATAAACAAACTTATAGAAGAATTCACTAAATGGGGTTTGGAGATAAATATACAAAAGACACAATACATGACTATAGGAGGCACAGGACAAACAGGACATCGAAACAAAAAGCGGAAAAATAGAAAACGTCGGACAGTACCAGTACCTAGGAGTTACAATAGATGAAAGCGGAAAGGATAATAAAGACATACTAAGGAAAATAGGAAAAGGAAAAAATATGATTAAAGCACTACATCCGATCTTGTGGAGTAAGAACCTAACAAAGAAAACAAAAAAAATTATATATCAGGCTATGATTCAGCCAGTACTGACGTATGGGTCAGAAGCGTGGGTTGTAGATAAAAATATGTCACAAAAGCTTCTCTCAACCGAAATGATGTACTGGAGAAGATGTTCAGGTTTAACTTTACTTGACCATGTTAGAAATGAGACCATCAGAGAAAGAATGGAAGTCGAAAATACAATAATGGACGATATAACAGAGAGGCAGTTAAAATGGTATGGACACCTGCAACGAATGAACGAAGAAAGGATACCATTAAGGGTTTGGAAATGGACACCAGCACAAAGAAATAAACGAGGAAGACCACGAAGGAAATGGATTTCAAACATCCATACCGCAATGGAAAGTAGAGGACTACATGAAGGAGACTGGAACGATAGGATACGATGGCGTATGGGTTGCGAGAAGCGACCTTGGGTTGCAGAAACTCGCCATATATATATATACAGGGTGGCCAAACACGTGACGTCATAAAAAAAAATAGATTCCCCACATCGAGAGGAACCCAAATCACCCCCATATATATGGTCCGATTTTGTTTAGTTTAGGAGTTATGATTTTTTTTCGGATTTTTCGAGAATTTTTGAGTTCTGTGTTTATTTTTACCATAACTTCGTTAATAATTGTGATAAATGCCTGCTTTTTCCACGATTATGTAGCTAAGACCTAAGGCTTAACTATCATATAATCATTCAAGTCATGTAACTAATACTACTTTTTAATTTTTTTCAAAATCTTCGAACATAACAAAAAGTAAAAAAGTGCCACAACTTTGAACGTTTATAAAAAATTGAAAAAACATGTTCTACTATTCGTAAGTATCTTAAAACTCCCTTACGGTATCAGCTATTTACCGTAAAAATTTCATCAACCTAGCTTTACTACATGCTACCGTAATTGTGGCTCAAATAGAACCGAACCCAAAATTGGATAACCCTCTGCTCAATAGAAATTGTTAGTTTCGGAAAAAAAATTTGCAAAAACCACAAAAACACGTTTGATTTTTACTGAACAGCAGATTATTATTCATTTATGTTATTTACAAGAGGTTTTCAAAATGTCTGCCTCTAACAGAAATGCACAGTGTACACCTACGTATGAAATTCAAACGTGTTTTTGTGGTTTTTGCAAATTTTTTTTCCGAAACTAACAATTTCTATTGAGCAGAGGGTTATCCAATTTTGGGTTCGGTTCTATTTGAGCCACAATTACGGTAGCATGTAGTAAAGCTAGGTTGATGAAATTTTTACGGTAAATAGCTGATACCGTAAGGAAGTTTTTAAGACACTTACGAATAGTAAGAACATGTTTTTTCAATTTTTTATAAACGTTCAAAGTTGTTGCACTTTTTTACTTTTTTGTTATGTTCGAAGATTTTGAAAAAAATTAAAAAGTAGTATTAGTTACATGACTTGAATGATTATATGATAGTTAAGCCTTAGGTCTTAGCTACATAATCGTGAAAAAAGCAGGCATTTATCACAATTATTAACGAAGTTATGGTAAAAATAAACACAGAACTCAAAAATTCTCGAAAAATCCGAAAAAAAATAATAACTCCTAGACTAAACAAAATCGGACCATATATATGGAGGTGATTTGGGTTCCTCTCGATGTGGGGAATCTAATTTTTTTTATGACGTCACGTGTTTGGCCACCCTGTATATATATATATATATATATATATATGTGTACTTAAAGATGTAAAACAATCCCAAAGTTTGTATGATTCCAGAAGAGCCTTTCAAAATGGATACGCTTCTTATATAGTCGATTGTCTAATTGTTTGGACTTGTTTTTCCACCAGTAGCAATGCGATTTCATCCTTACTCAATGTTGCTCATTTGGCAGAGTAATTTAAATAAGCAAGGGAATGTCATCTTTCTTCAGAGAACATTTTTCTTTTTCATGTTAGCGAGTTCAATAAATCAGTGCTTTCTGTCTCTCGATGAACAGTTGTTTTATTTTTTAGCTGATTTTCTTTAATTCACTGACCTCAGTCGAGTTTCAGTTTGATGGATTGTCTCGAATTTGACACCCTTTTGAAAAGTTCTAGAAGTTATAAAGGTTGTAATTTATGAAAATTCTCGCAGATCAGATCATAATAATAGATATCAAATAAGCGAAATGTGAAGCATCCAAGTAAGTGTGTAATTGACCTTAGTATGTCATTTTTCCAAGATGGATTCAACAATACAAACGTTCCATCTCCCTCTCAGATAGGGTCCGCTTGATATAAGAATACGAAGGATGTCTTTTAAGTTTTCATACAGAAACATAGTAGGCCGCGCGGATCGATCGTCAATACTTAATATTAACCTCACTCTTTAGTAAACTTAAATTTAAAGTTTCACAATCATACGTGCAGTGTTCTCACTACAGTGATTTTTTAAGTGTCACCAAGTCATTAGAAAAATGGAACTCAACCGATAATATTTTCGCGCCATAATTTGTTACAACCTTCAGAGACAGTTATCGCAACAAGAATTACTTGCTGAGTTACTGTCTGTTTTCGGCAACGAAGCGCCACATCAGTCGACAATTTTCCGTTGGTACGGAG